AGTAGCAGCGTGTATAGTGTCAGTGCTAGGATGTACTTGAAAGACTTTGCGTACCGCAGGCGCCTTGAGTTCATAGCAAAAGAGTGGCTAGTTGTCAGTGTTCGGAGCGCCAAGTGCCAGACTTCAGTTGCTAAACTGTGCTGCTTGTACGGCTTCTGTGCCACTACTTTGCTGCAAGTAATACTGTGCTACGTTGCTGTTGCTGTAATTTGCTGTATCATTACTGTGCTTCAGTACGGCCACCATACTGCTATTGTACTAGTTACTTTCATCTGTATGAATGATTGATCGGTGGAAGCTTTGCAAATATCATATTATTATATGAGGTTTGCGCACGGAGTCATTTGTCTCTTCATAGATCGACAGCTTTAGCTACTTTAGTTGTTATAACCTACGCGCGAACGTTTCAAGACTCAAGACTTGAGTGACAGAAATGTGTTGGCGACATTCGGCGACCGAATTTCGTAACAATATTTCCTGACAAGGTTGATGATATCGCAAGTGTGTTATATTGAGCCTGACGAACAAACGCCTACAGTTATACAGGTTATAGCATGATTAAGGAATACTTATTCTAGAGCCTGAATACATGAGGTTGATTCTACGACTTCCGTCCAGTCCTTGCTGATCGTATTATTATTCTTAATTACGTAGTTTCTACTGTAAGGGCCACGTAGCATCCATGCCTCACCTTACGTTCACGGTGGAAAAGCTATTTTTCGGTTTCTACCTTATAGCTTGATGTCATGTTTCTTGTCCGTTTTAGTCACCAGGCCATGCACGTTTGTTTCACGGTGCTTTCACCTTGTGTTTGAATAGTACATCCGACCACCCCAATTCCAATGCCCCCCCCCCCCCCCCCCAACACACGCCCCCACACCCCTCTAGGACCTATCTCCTTCCACCATGTCACTGGCAAGACTCCCCAGAAGCAGCCTGCCGTGAGGTAGATGAGAATCCTGAAAACGTAAACCATGAAAGGCCTAAACAAGATTAAACAAGCAATCTTTGACTCCATCTCTAAACCGAGGTTCCCAAGAGTAACAACAGGCTTCTCAGGCTCTGTCTTGCCGTTTCGCATCTGCTCAGCCGTTTTCTTCCTGATCACCTCAGCATCCTCACAGCAACATCGTGACAGTCACCACCCTTTGCAACACCCACTCGCTCATCGAACAATATCATCATCAATACACATCTCTGGTTTAATCATCTTTGCCCGCATCAGCCACAGGCATCGCCACGACACAACTTTCACCACTGCCATAATTATCGTAACGCCGTCATCATGGCCATCGCCATCTTCATCTTCGCCATGGTCGTCAGTTACTCTCATCCGACGGCCTCAACGACACAGCCCAACGAGGCGAGCTACGAGCGGAGGAAGCACACAGGGACTCGATGACCATAAGCAGTAAGGATGGTGGCGGTCACCATGGCGACCATCATGAGCATGACCGTGCATTTGGTGGTCTACGATCGTCATCATCTTGTCATCATCATCGCCGTTATCGTCATCCAGCTGCTCCTCCTAGTTCTAGCTTGAGCATTCAGAAAGCCATCCATAGCCGAGATCATTTGGCACATGACCAGGACTATCCCAACGCCATCATCATCAACATCAGCATAGTCACTGGCCACTGTCGTCGTCCTTGTCGTCGTTTGTATCATCCTACTTAGCTTCTCTTCAACCGATCGCCGACATGAAGGCAAAGATCGTCATCATGGTCACCTCCACACGACGAGGTGGCAGGGAGGAGGCAGAGGTGCAGGAGGAGAGGATGCCGAGGTTCCTCACTGAAATCTTTGATCATCAAATGCTCCTGCCCGGCATCGGTCATATCAGCAGTTGACTTCCGCTACTTGTCGGTCCTGAGGCTGCTCAAGCTCTGCCAGCTCTGCTCGGTCGAGACCACAAACGGCGGGAAGATCCGCTGCAGCTGCAGCACAGGAGCGGAATACTACTTCTGACCAGCTAAGCTCTGCGAATGCCTCGAGTGTAGATGTCCTGGAGCGGATCTGCGAAGTCATTCCGGACTTGCGCAGGCCCCGCGACCGCGCGCGCAGGGCCGCAACTGGCGCGGGGTGGAGCCGCTTGTGCTTGCAGGAAGATTGGTTGAGCTGCCAGTGAGGAGGCACCTTGTGACAGGGTATGTGACTCCTGAAGAAAAACGAAGGCGACCACCTTCGGCCAGGTTGGAATCCGAGCCCGGGAGCTCAGGAAATGGCAGAGTTATACGCAATAGGTGGCTTGAAATTGCTCATCCAGGGTTGGCGAGGTGGGAGGGCAGTGATGGATTGAAGCCAGGATTTTTTGATTGGCAGGCGCATGGACAACTCCATTGCCGACCAACGCGTCCACCTTCAGAGTGGGCCAGGTGCCGAACCTTGGAATATTTGCAGGGACTGAACCTGTGAGGTCCGTGGCACAAATAGCACGTACAACAGCGGCTGCTTGTGCAACTTGCGTCCGGAAGTCGTAGGGATAGGCCCTGACCAGATGACTGAGCTTCAGTGCAGCAGCCTTTCGACTTGCTTTGTGCTCTCGTGATTTCCTCCCTGTGGTGCCTTGCGACCCTTCACAACTCAAAGTTCTCTCTTGCGCAGGTCCGTCCAGGGCACATCACCTGGGCTGTGCAGCAGGCCGTAGCGATAGTATGACTTTGACCCCCGGATGGGTGTTCCGGATGCCCCTTCCTGATGCCAAGAGAATATGTTCAGCACGCTGCGGATTTTCGCAACGAGGCAACCGAACCATGTCACCCCAGGCCGCACCCCGTCTTGTCCCTTCTCACAGGGCTGTTTTCCGTTCCACTCTCTGCCCGGAGGGAAGGAACGGGTGGTGGCTCAAAACATACCCAGCAGAGGGAGCACTTGCAAGCTGCACAATCAAACGAGTCTTGAGTGTGAACCGCAAGTCGTCTCAGGAAGATGAGAATGAGAAGTGCAAGCATGCCCTGGGTGTGGCTGGGAGTGCATGGGTGGGACCGGGCGGGATAGAGGTGGAGCAGATATGAAATGTTGACCACTGATGCCTTGACCTCGACGTTGCCCGTCTCGATGCCAGGCCACAGCACCCAGTATTCCTGCAGATCCGAGGTGCAGCTTTCAACCAGTTCTCTTCGGTTCGTGCTTGAAAAGCAGTGAGCAGATGCCAGCAAGGGCCGTCCTGTCTGTTTTGATTTGTGGCAGGTTTGGTGGCAGATGAGCCCTGGGGCAGACAGGCTGGGAACGACAGCGTCAGCCGCTGCGTTCTGCTACTCACCCGGGCCACCCGGAAGATTGCCAGGCGCCGCCAGGGCGATTTCGAGAAATGCACTTTGCCCTCGCAGCAGCCCAGCTGGGAGAGCGAATTGGGTCTTGACCTCGGTAAATCTAATGAATCAAATGAATATGCCAGGTATGTTGTTCTTCTCCAACTCACTTGAAAATGCTCTTCGGCACTGGGCAGGTTATGGTGCAGAGGAGGCGAGTGGTCACTGGCCTTCTGGGAGGCCTCGCAAGGCCGGAAGCATCCAACAGTCGACTATGCATGGACCAGTTGAACAGACGACACTTTCAGTACTCTTGCAGATCGTCGAGCGTCTCGGACTTCGATTTCGTTGCTTCCGAAATCTCGCGATCTGCGCCCAACGACGCAGGCCGGGGATTTGCCGCCTCTGCCCGGTGCCGAGGGTGGCAAGGCCAGGACCAGTTGGGTCCTGGACACAGCCGAGTCTGCAGCTGCCGCGAGGCACAGAGCCTGGGGCTCTTCATGGTGCCGCCGCCGGAGGCCAGGAAGCGATCACGACTGTTTCTCTATGCACGCTCCACTTCAGGACCTTTCTCGGACTATTATTGTGACTTCTGTTTTCCTAACTGCATTCGCCAGGCCCCTCAGCCCGCATGGACGAAGAGTTCAACCCAACCTCAAGAAGGTGGTTAATCGACTTCGCGTCGCACTGGGCCTGGGGCCGAGATAACGGCATTCTCCCGCCAGAGAGTGCCAGCAGCGTTGCACTCGCCGTGCCAAGCGCAGCATGCGGATTGCCGGACAAGCATCGGACAAGCCTCGGGGAGCCGCAGGCCTGACCAGCCTGAGCATGCGAGTGATTTCTGAACTGGGAATGTCCCAGTTGGTGGCATTGAGTGGATTAGATTGTTGAGATTGGACCAGACCCGCGCTGGTTTGAGCGCGAGCTGGGCAAGCTCAGCTTTTTTGTACAGCGGCACTTTCTGCTCTGGGTGGTCTGTGCCAGTCTTTTCAACACGCCTGCTATGCAGACTCGCATCACCTGCCTTGTTAAGACTTGCTCCTGGTTCCAAACGACCTTTGTGCAGCCTGACCTTCCGAATCGTTCCGAGTTCTATCTACAACAGGCTGAAGCATGTGCCTCTGCACGGGCAGTCGTCTGGCCCATCGGAAATCTCCCGATGGGATGTTCCTTTTGAAACAGCCAACCTTTTTCGTCTCTTCCTGCCTGCATCGCCTTCGGTGCATTGCTTCGTGTACTCATGCCAACAGAGTTACATCTTCACAGATGATGGGTACGATGTCTTCATCTCCTGCAGCAGTTTGTCAGAAACCTGTGCAATCAATATACAATCAAGGAGCGGCCCATGGGTGCAGATCCTTTGCGTCCTGCATGATGCATGTCCTGTGTGTGGCAGTGTGGCCTAGCAAAGCATGCCAAGTCGGTTTCTTGAAGACCCTCCCACAGCAGTTTGTGCGCCCTGCTGCCTTGACAGGGTGGTGCGCATTGTTCGATTACTTCGTTCAAGCTGCAAAGCAGCAACTGGACGAACATTGTCGGTGCCCTGCATTTGTTCCAGCTCGCCGTTGCCCCGTTTTAGAGATAGATCGTCGAGCCATGTGCTGCTGCACAATCAACACCATTGGTCCTAAGCAGCCTAGGCCTAGAGAAGTTGTCAACTGGCGGTTCACCGATTGTTCGCAGTTCGTGGGGGGTGGGGGAAAGAGGCGTGAGGGGGCGGGGAAGCTCACCAGCTCTGTGAATAGCCGCAGCATGGACTGTGCCCCAGCCCCTGCGAACATATCGCGTGCGGTGGGTTGCTTGACCACGACGGTGCTAGCAATCGGCAAGGCATGCACCTGCACCTTGGCTTTAGTGACTCAAGAGCTTAGTCTGCTGATCAACTTCAGCAGGCACCCAGGCCTGCGAGCAGGGAGTTCGACATTGTGGTCTTGCTGGAAGCGGCCACTTGTGCCTTCCAGCATCACGGCGGAGTGAACAAGCCGACTTGCGCTGCGCATCCGTGATGACAGGATCCACTTCGGCATGAGCACTGCGCTTGCACATAGCCTCGCGCGTTTCTCCGGCTCAAGGCTTCCCTTAGGGCTCCCTCAGCGACTTACCTCACTCTACCCCCCATCCTCCACCCCTACCAGTCCTGCAGCAGTTCGGAAGTTGCAAATGACTCGTCAAGTTTGTGACTTGATAAGCTCGCAAAGCTTTATCTTCCACAGCCGCGGCTCATTTTGAGCTTCACTGTTGCAGCCTCGGATTGTTGCGATTCCATGAACTGCCAAGCACCACGACAAAATGAACAGGCACACTGAAGTGTTTGAAGAACCCAACCGCTGGTAAATCGCCGCTCAGGTCGCTTCGTCAAGTTGATGAACTCTTAATTGCTGCTTGGTCGGATCTGGAAAGCAGGTAACGATGCATGCTCGGCAGGATAGATTTTCTATTGTCGCAGCCCACCGTGGGGTGGATCTATCGTCAGGTAACTGCACCATATGGCAGCAAAGCACCATTTGAGTATCTGTCGATGTCTTGCTGCGACTACTGCTACTACTACTACGACTACTACTGCTATGTCTATACGACGACCACGACGACTACGACCACGAACCACGACCATTAGCATTGCCTCTGCCACCATCGCTGCCGCTACCACGCTACCGCTACCACTACCTCTACCACCACTACCGCCGCTACCACCGCCGACCACGACGACGACAACTACTACTCAGACTACGACGAAAAATGGCTAATACAAGTACGAAAACTGATACTGACACTAATACTAACACCAATTGCTAATGCGAATATTTATACCAATACGAATACCAATACGACTGCTGATGCTAACGCCAATACTAATTCTAAAACTAGTACTAACATTAATCCTGCTACTACCACTATAAGTCATAATAGTTGTCGTGCTAATACTCGTACTCGTACTCGTACTCGTACTACTACTACTACTACTACTACTACTACTATCACCACTACTACTATCACCACTACTACTATCACCACCACTACTACTACTACTACTACTACTACTGCTACTACTACTACGACTACTACTACTCCTGCTGCTGCTGCTGCTGCTGCTCCTACTGCTGCTGCTCCTACTGCTGCTGCTGCTACTACTACTACTACTACTACTACTCCTCCTGCTGCTGCTGCTACTACCACCACCACCACCACTACCACTGTCACTACCACCACCACCACCACCACCACCACCACGACCACCACCACCACCACCACCACCACGACTACTACTACTCTACTTTTTTTCTCGTACTCGTACTCTGAGTACTGATGTTAGTTGTCATAACTACTAGTGCTAGTAGCAGTGGCACTAGTATAGAAGCAGTAGTGGTAGTCGTCGTTGTGATGGGGTACCCGTAACGGGCTGGTAGCAGACGGGGCTTGGGGGTCAGTTGAGTGAACTGCAATGGGCTTCCACTTGGCTTGAGCACAGCATCCTTCGCCGGAGATTGACGTTACAGCAGCCCTAGACCTGGCTAGCAGAAGGAATGCTTCGGAATACTACGCTAGCCAAAGCTTCTGTCCCACTGCACGGGTCTTTGTAGCTTTAGTTTCGACACGACTTGGTTTGCAAGGCGAGAACGCTGCCGCTTGATTTGCGGCATGTCGGGAGCGCTTGCGAGGCGTGCGTCAGAGACCGTAAGGAACCGTAAGGACCTGCTTTGGAGCCCAAACTCAGCGAGGCCCCTGACGCGGGAAGCAGCTCGCCGGGCCGGTGCCGGACTTGCGCAGCAGGTTCCTTGCCGGCGCTCCACTGTGATTGCAGCGCTGCAGCTTTTGCTTTTGCTGGTGCTCCGAGGCTGCGAGCATTCTCAAGGCCGTGGTCCAAGGCCCCGAGGCAGAGCCTGCGGGCTATGGCTCGTATCCCAGCTCGCATGCAGCACCACTGCTCCGCTGCTGCCGCCTTGGGCACCTGGCCCAGGAGTGGAACTTCCGCGCTTCGTGCAGGCAGGTCGCTTAAGATTCATGGGCAGTTGCCTGCCGCTAGATTCAGTACAGCGGTCACATCAAGCATTATCACGTATATTCAGGAACCGCAGCGAACTTTTCTCTCGTTTGCGCCAGGCACTGCCCTATCTAAGCCACGCGCAACTGGTGCAATGCTCGAGTCATTTCGGCCAGCCGTTGCCCCAGGAAAGCTGAACACTGAGGCTTCAGCTGATCTACGGTAAATCTGGCAGCACCTGCTGCCTTCCCGTCCGTCTTAAGGCGTGGCCAGGCAGTTGGCGGCGTCGCTTGCGCCTTGGCGTCAGAGCTCTCCTGGCGCCTCAAGCCGCGAGGCTCGCAAGGCTACGTGCTGCACCCCGGTATGCCTTGGATTACCAAATTGTAATGACAGGAGAAACGTCGCCCGAGTCCCGACTCAGGGAGAACTTGAGAGCCGATGAAGTCGCTCCCCCATTGTGAGCTACCGTCTGGCAGCCTTCGACGGCATCTTGTGGCACTGCTGAGGTCACCACCGTGTTCTACGCCTTCTCGAAGGTTGCGCCCCAGTTGCCGGAGGACGCAACCCCTCATGCGAGAGAGACAGCGATGCACCAGTGAGGCTCAGAGCTGCACTCTCTTGTATCTATCATGTGCGAGAAGAAGGTTTTGTAATTAAAGGGCTTGGGACAGCTACCTTGCAATCTCCAGGGATTTTTTTTGACATTCCATCACTCCGCAGTACCGATTGCTCTACGAAGCGATCAGCGACGGCCTGCTGGAGGGCCAGTGGAGCCTCAATCGTGAGTGCCTGAGCATCGCACCTGAAACGATGTATTTGCTGCCAAGAGTAAGCGAGACTCCAGCGCTGAGACCTCCAGTCCGTCCTGATTGCCACTGCCTTGGCGGACACGGACTCCGCCTTAGTAGCCTGGAAATCACGTGCAAGATTTTGTTCGACAGCGTCGTTCCTCTTCTGAAGATGCTGGTGGACGGAGGAAAAAGGGACAGAGCGGGCAGGGGAATTCCCGTAAACCCCAGCCTCAGCTGGGTTTGGGGAGTCGATGGAAGGGCAGGGCCAAGTTTGGAATTGAAATACACCCCTTCTGATGCTCATGATGCTCTCCCGATTTCGGCTTTTAGGGGAGCTGAAGCTTTCCCGCCTGCTGGACGAAGCTACGTCACCTGCATTTGTCCCACTTCCTGCTGTCGCAAATTGAGGAAGAAGATGAAGAAGTAAACATGGCAGTGGCAGTAGTAGTACTCGCTGTTGTTGTTGTTGTTGGTGGTGGTGGTGGTGCATGGCGGCGGCCTTGACCTTCTTATTGCTCCTGCGGTGATGGAATTAGGAAGATGACGCATCTTTGGTTTCGTCCTCGTTGTGGTCGTGATGTAGTGACAGGGTTCCGTTCGATGTCACGAAAGGACACTCGGCTAGCAGACGCAATGCCGGCGGTCTTGCAGCCGCTCCTGACGGATTTGGTCGAGAACCCACAGGCTACGGGGCAGAGAAGTGGCAGCGGTTTTGTCAGGTCGTGGGTCGGGTTCGTGATGGATGAAAAGCTGCAAAGAAGGGAGTGAGACTGCGTGGAGCAGTTTTGTTCAGACTTTGCTCAATTAAGTGATACAGGTCCGCGAGGACGTTACAGTGGACATGCTCCGCTTTCTGGCCCTGGCCCTCGGATGTCTGTTTCGGTTGCGGCGGTTGCGAAAGGCTTTCGAGTTCCGAGGTTCATGCGGCTGCACGGCTCCCGAGCCCGGGCCTCACCGGCAAGGAGCTGGAGGCAAGTGCAAGTGCCGCCGTCGGAGCAAGCATGTGCTCCCTCCAGCTAAGAAATGATCCATGATCCCATAAGTCACCCGCAATTCTCCGAGGGCTTTGCTTGCGACATGTGCCGCCAGGCTCTCGCAGACTGCACCATCTCGCGGTTGCGCGGCAGTAGCTTCTCCAAGCAGGCTGGCAAGCACAAGCCACGGTCACTGCTTCAGCGGCCCGTCTCCTGTGACCAGGCTCACCTAATGTTGTCGTGGCTGAGGCCGGGCTAGAGAGTACAGCCACGCCCATGCAGCATGAAGCTGGAGACGATCTTCCTGAGAACGTCGTGTTGTTGTTCCGTGCAAGGATAGCGCCAGACCCTTCAGCCAAAGAGGTGGGACCGGCATCCGCAACAAGACGTCCTTACACAAGCAGTGAAGTGCCAGCAGTTGCAGGCTTCTGGTCCAGTGTTATAGCATGGCAGCTCTTTCACCGTGTGGATATGCTGTGCGTCCCATGAAGCTTCAAATTTGCTGTCTCCGTTTCAAGACTCGCAGTCGCCGTTTGCTTTGTTTCCTTGGAGTGGGCGACCTTTAGTCGTGAGGCCCACTTCAAAGCCTTGCAAGCTTGCGGCCAAGCCCTCATGAAGCACCAGAAATCGTGGAGGTCTCAGTGCGTTATGGTTCGGGTGTGGACGTGTCCGGTCCAGTTTGCCTCTTGGTGCTCTAAGCTCTTTTTGCCGCGACAAACTCCAACACTCAGCCTCTCGACAGCATGAGGCACATGCCTGCGCATCCACTGCCCCACGAAGGCCCAGTGCCCTTTCCAAAGTCCGGAAGAACTGTGCCAGCACCTCTTTGGATAGGACTTGCGCCTCTCATAGCAGACCTGCTGGCGCGTGAGGCCGCAGAGCGAGCGAGCGAGTGGATGAGCGAGAGATAAAGAAAGCCAGAGATGCAGCGAGAGCGAGAGAGAGAGAGAGAGAGAGAGAGAGAGAGAGAGAGAGAATCCCACAGTTGTCGTTTTGCAATAGGGGGCGAGTTTGCACTACAGAGCAGGCCACCGCCCTAGACAAGATGAGGCCCGGAGGTTGTATAGTGTTCGAAACGGGGTTATCAAAGTTGTGGAAACGGGGGCCTCATCTGCCATAGACAACGGACAGACCGAACCTGCAGGGCGCGCACGCGCGCGGGAGGGGGTACTTGCCCTTTCCTTGACTGTGTGGAAGAAGAAGAGAGAGAGAGAGAGAGAGAGAGAGAGAGAGAGAGTGCCCGGATCCCGAAGCCCTAGTAGAATCACAACATGCCCCGCTGGAGTTCTCCCGGAAAGTCGTGATATGGTTGTCACGCCCCTATCCGGTGTACAGCGCTTGCCGTATGGTTTGGTTCTATCTTACGTACATACTCTGCACGGCGGTTGCTGTGTGGCATTTACCCCTAATTATCCTGCTTACAGCGCTTGCTGTGTGTGTTGCTTCTGTTTTATGTACATTCTATGTACGGTGGTCGCTGTGTGGCTTGTGCCCCTATCCTGTTTACAGCGCTTACTGTGTGGTTTTGCTTCTGTTTTATGTCAATGTACATACTATGATGTACGGCGGTTGCCGTGTGGCCTTTGCCCCTGTCCTGTTTACGGCGCTTGCTATGTGGCCTTTGCCCCTACCCTGTTTACAGCGCTTGCTGTGTGGTTTTGCTTCTATCTTTTGTACAGCGGTTGCGGTGTGCTTTGCCCGTATCCTGTTTAAAGCGGTTGCTGTGTGGCTTTGCTCCTATCCTGTTTACAGCGGTTGCTGTGTGGCGTTGCCGTTATCCTGTTGCCTTTATCCTGTTTACAGCGCTTGTTGTGTTATTTTGCCTCTATCCTGTTTACAACGCTTGTTGTGTGGCTTGGCTTGTGTCTCATGTACAGCGATTGCTGAGGCTGTGTGGCATTGCCCCTATTCTGTTTACAGCACTTGCTGTGTAAGTCCGGTCGAGGGTCTTGTATACAACCAGTGTCTGTATTCCAAAGGGCCTGCAGGCTTTCCCGAGAACTAAGAAAAGCTTTCTTCAGCTTTTTGTAAGCTTGCTTTAGTGTCTTTAGCTTTTCGTGGAATTGCTTGGGAATCATTTTTCCCGGGCCCAGCCGAACATTGAGAAGGTTCAACCTTTAGTTTTGTTATACATTTGTTTGAGCTTCCTTTAGTGTTTTTACTTTGTAGCTCTCTGTTGGACTTCCTTCGCTTTTCACAGGAGTTCCTTGCGTGTTGCTGGCTTGTGGTGGAGTCCACGATTTTCCAAAAGGAATCCACAAAACTCCTTGTAAATCCCAAACAATTCCTACGATCATGGGCCAAGCGAAAAGAGGGAGGGGGAGGGGGAAGGGGGGGAGGGGGACAAGGGGGAGGGAAGAGGGGCTGGAGTTGGAAATGGGGGGACGGGATTTGATGACCTCCCGAAACCCTCAACCCTTTACCAAAACCCTAAGCCCTGAACCCTGAATCCTAAACCCTCAACCCTACCCTGCACCTGAAAACACAGTTCCAGTCACAACATCATTGTGGGAAATAGTTAGATTCTTCTAGCTTTACTTAGCTTCAATGTTTTTTCCGGTAGTTTTCCCTGGAATGCTGAAGAAGTAGGCCCTGAAGCGGTAAGGGATGGGAATGTATGACTTGCTGTGTGGCTTTGCTTCTACTTGTATCTTATGTACAGCAGTTGCTGTGCGGCGCCGGGGGATTTAAACATCCCGCAAGCCAAGCAGAAGCCAAGCAGAGGAGGAGTGTGCGCCAGGGGCCTCGACCCCAAGCCCCTTGCCCTAGCCCAAAAAAATTAATACGAACACAGAAGGACACAAAGATGGAGGGAGCAGGAGACCAAGCTATGGCCGGGACTTTTGTTCGAGCTTCTCAAGTGCAAGTCACCCAGAGCAAGTGGAAAGAAGAAGGGGAGGCCTTGTACCAGTTTTTCTAGCGACCAGGAACAACGGGCTTGTTGGTAGAAAATAGTAGAGGAGAGGAGAGAAGGCCAGCTGAGATGAAGTCTATACACTCAACGCACAGTACAACAGAAGCTTGCACGTGTCTCGACCTTCGACCACATGCCAACTTTATGCAGTTGTTCGACTGCACATGATTGCGCATCCCCGAATCGGAGCCAACCATGCGAGACAGGCCGAACAAAATGCCAGCTTCTGAGATGTCGCGTGCACGTCCATGCTTGAACCACGGTCGTGTGTTAGGAAGACCGCCAAAGCAGGCCGCGCAGTGTCCGAGTCCTTGTGACATGCTCAGGCTCCGCCTCTAACCCCACCGGTGATGCAAGACATCGTGAAGGGCCTCGCAGGGCGGCCCGGAAATGGCATCCAATCCAGTAAATACTCGAGATTCAATGCCATCTCGAGGTTGCAATTAGTTGGGGCGTACAACGCCACCAATTCCCGCAGAGCCGGAGCAGGCGGTGCAAGCATGCGCAACTCCAATGTGTCTGAGAGTGAGTTTGAAGCGTATGAAGATGAAGAGATCGACGTCGTTCAGACAGGAGCTTGTCTATCGATGACTGGTCCGATATCATGGCCGAGCTGGTCAAGTGCTCCTTCATAATCAAGTTCCTCCAGCCCCAGCCAGTGGCCAACCACTACGGGTTGCAAGCATGCTGCTATACAGTTTGGGCACAGTTCTTGTTTGCAGGTACTGCGAATCCCACAGTATCATTGGACAGGCAGGTCGGAAATGACATACCTCTTTGTGATGTTGTGTTATTGAAAGTGGAGCTTATCGGGCAAGAAAACTCCTGTTAAATGTACCGGCTTCATTTGTCAAAGCTGTCTGGATTTTGGATGGTTTCGGGCCTATCTTCCGCAACTGCTTGAATCCAGCGACACGGCGGTGACTCAAGGCGTCTGCGTCCTCAAGCTCCAGTCGGAACACACTGACGCTGACCCCTGCCGCGCTTCTACCTGGCTGGGCGGATCAAGCGCTGTTCCACGTGCATCCCGGAAATCGCAGCATCTTTTGTTCTTTCATTTACAGAAACAGCTTCGCGAGGTAAGCAGCGCACGCAGAACATGTAGCATCCGTAGCAGACATGGCGCAACAGCACAGAAGGTCAGCGACAGTACAATGAAGTCAGGTCTGCCCTGGAGACTCATGTCCAGAGTCTGGAGTGATGAATTCTGAGCTCTTGCCCTGTGATTCACAAGATCATAATTAGCTGGACCAAGGCTTTTCCGAGCGCAGCAGCAGCCCATTCTTCGGAATTCGCCCGAGAGATGGGTGCAGCTGTCCTCGCTGCTCACTTTGCTCAGATTGGTCAGGCGTCATAGGAACGTCCGGCCCGATCCGGAGTTCTTTGCTTGGTCAGTCCGATTGGTCGACGTGCACCAACGTGCTGGGAACGTAGAGGAGAGCTTGCTGGCTGACTTGGTTAACGAACTCGTTCCGCTGCTCCCAGAGAAGGAGAGAGCCAAGCTTACGAGAATAATCATGGCAAGGCGAAGCACAGAAGCCGAGCCCCAGAAAGTTCTGGCTCCTCAACTTGAGCAGGGGCAGCCAGCCCAGCCAGCCCAGCCAGCCCCCCGCTTGCTACAGAGGAGCGAAGAGGCTTCGGTTCAGGTAAAACTGGCACCAGCGGTTCATCCACATGAAGCAGATTTCGGCCTCAGGGTCGAGCCTGTGAGGCCTCTGAGTGCGTCAGCGAAGTCAGCGAACCTCGGTGCCATGGCCGGTGGCCGGCTCTGGGCTTTGCTTGCCAAAGCCGCCGAGCAGGCCGAGCCTGCGGCGAGCCCTGCAGCGAGCCCTGCGGCGAGCCCTGCGGAAACGAGCACGGCGGCGAGCACCGTGCTGCACAGCGCAGAGGTCGAAGAGGTGCCGAGCTCTCTCGGCATAGACGCTTGCTTGCAGACAGCTCCCGACTTATTTTCTTTCGCTGCGAGGAAGTAAACAAGGAACGGACATGTTGACAATAAGTCACCAGGATCTGACGAGCGCCGCTGACAAGGTACGACAGATTACAACAGGTACATGCCGTGATTTTTTGTGCATCACGCCTAGAATGAGGTTTCCAGCAAAGCCCAAGAGTCTCAGCAGTCGGACGTTCGCACCCCGCAAGTCCCGACGGCCACAGCGACGGTGGAGGTGGTCCTTGCTCAGCAATGCTGATCTATGTCATGACTGATGCTAGCTCTCCGTTCCAGGAGCTGCAGCGAATGTTGCAGAGCGCCTTGCTGCGAGTTGAGGCTTCAACAAACTTTCTGTTTGCTAGGTTTCGCCATGCTTCTGCTCGCGTGCAGGCACTGGAGTCCAGGCTTGCGGATCAGGAGCGGGATGCTGCGAAGGCCCAGGATTGCACAAATGACCGCAATCTGGGGCCGTACAGTGGACTGCCTCACATGCTTCTTTCCTTATGTCGGCTCCTATTCATCGTGATGATCACGCAACGCACGATGTCTTCCAAGTTTGATTAGCACGGCCCATGTGCAGAGTGGCAGAGTGGCGTTCAGGCGAAAGATGCCTGCAAGGAGTCCGGAGCACAGTTCAACTGATCCGAACTTTCTGCCATTGCTTTTAAGTTCAGCGGGCTCAACGCCGAGGCCCTCTGATGACTCCGCGCACACGTGTGTCCAAAGCCAAAGCCCTTGCCCTGGCGCGAGCGTCGCACATGTCGCACGCCCGTTGCCTGGACCCGAAGCCGACGCAGGCGACGGATGGCTCACTCAAATTCTCGAACGTGCGACCGTCAGCTTTCAGCGAAGTGTAGGATGCTCGAAGGGAGATGGTGTGTGTGCTCTTCCGCTTTGGTGCACGTGTGCCCAGCCGTCGCGGAGCAAATCCAGCCATCGTCAGCCGCAGCAACCCTGCACTTGCCGTGATCCCAGAAGCTCTGGTCGCGAGCGGTGAAGAACCCAACGGAACCCGAATTTTATGTAATGCACACACCCTACAGTCCTACAGTATCCGAGTCATTTCTCTTCGGAGCATGACGATATCGCATAGAGCCACATGCTGAATCAAAGCTCCTTGTTTAGAGCTTGGATAGTTTCAGAAGCCGGCATAGATCAGAGTTTGAAGTGCGGTTCAAGCTTCGGCGGCATCCGAGGCGACGTGCTTTCAACTTCGAGCAGTTCCGTCGCGCGCACTCCGCGAGGCCTCCCGTGGCCTCGCCGATTGTAATCAAGCCAGGCTGAGAGTGCCAGGCTGGACGCCGAGCGCATGCGTGTCATCGTCCCTCCCGACCACTTCCCGCTGCCAGGGCCTAGGAGATACTTCGCACACCTCTGCTTCTACCATCAGAGAGTTGGTGTCTGGACAGACGAGACGGCGGGTTTCAGATTTCACAACAAAGTCGAAGCAGAGCATGCAGAGCAGAAGTACAGCCGGCTTGAAAGTTGAATGGATATGTCGGACACCCGCCGACCCGTATGCAGCATGCATGCAGCAATTAGATGTCTGTACACGTTCGTCGTGCTTCTAGGCCAGAGTGCTTGGGCATGCACTGCGCCCAGGTGGCCTATCATGAAGAAGTAGACAGCATGACTGGCATGACTGCTGATCTGGTGCACAGCGACTGTTGGAATCACTTGCTCTGTTTCTCAACTTTGCGGGCAAAGCTGACAAGCCGCAACTCCAGCTGATGTTCGATACCGCCGCGGGAGCGGGTGGTGACATTTACATCTTCAGGTGCTACAGGACATCGTATGGGTCGAACGTCGAAACATCTGCGCTAGGAATGTTGCGCCAGCATAATGCTGCGCTGCTGCGCAGCACAACAGCAGCTCAACTGCCTGCTGAAAACGTCATAGTCAAGCACTGCATAGCTAATGTGGCAGGCAGATGGGCTGTTTTGTTTCCGAGTTAGAGCTTTTTTGAAAGCACAGAGCTTACCTGACCAACGATGCCCGTACATTTGTGAAGTTCTGCAAAACCTTTCGCATTCGGAGCAGTAGCTTGCTTGAGCAACGGCAAGGGGCAGTTCCAGGGTTCTGAGCAACACGGCGGCCATACGGGAAGCGTTCGCGAGCCGCGAGACGGCCGTAACTACTAATCGAGATCTTGCTTGTTCCGAGCCGTGAAGCAAATGCAGCAATGCCTCTGATTTGTGGCTCGGCGCAGAATGTGGAGCTAGGGTGTTGGGCCGGTAATGCCTGAACCTGCTCATAAGCTCACATGTGAGCACCATGTTAGCCAGTATTATGAGCCGTTCTCTTATGCGGAATCAGCCGGAACCATAGGCGGACTCGTTTCCAGGCAGAGAGTAAAGCCGCACCGCCGAACTGATTGCTGATCTCTCCCGAAGCCATGGGGGGCACCAAGAGCAAACCGCAAGGCAAAGATGGCCGGGGCCCTGCAGACGGGCTTCGGCAGAAGCAGAGAGCTGATACTGTATTTGCGTGAAGTTAAGGGTGGAAGGCAGGGAGGTTTCCTCTTCCCAAAAGACTGAGGTTACAGCGACATTGGTGGCGAGGTTATCCGGATTTCAGTTTGGTGCTTAGCACTGCAATGCAAGAGTCGCATCAGAAATCATGCTCAGAGATCTTTCCTCGCGAGTCTGCAGCTTGATGCAGCGCTGGTTAGCCAAGCCATCAGATCTTCCACTAGAACTTGTATGCTTTGAAGTCTGGGGATGTGCAGGAGCACATGGGCAAGATCCCGGTGTCCGGAAGGCCTTGGCACCGGTTTCAGGGCCATGGGAATCTGTTTCTCGAAGTCAGGTATCACCGAAAGCCTCGCAGAATCGGAGACGACTACAAGGTCTTGACAGTTGCATACACATTGTCACGCCGCTATACAGACTCGATGCTGTCCTGCTAAGCACTGCCTACTTGCAGATACACGAGACCGTTCTTGGCAGTGGCTACAATGGTGTGAACGCCTCAGGATATTCACAAGGGCACACACTCTTGTAGGACCCAATCAACCCACAGATCCAACGCAGACATTGGACGCTGTCGGGATGTGGGAAGACTCTTTGCCAGAAAAGCGTGTTGTCTTGAGGCAGCCGACCTGAATGTTTCTATCGGAGCCTACTAGGGTCAACGCGCTCTTCTGTAGCCGGCGTTGGACACACTCAGGTCGTGAACATGGCAACGAGCATTGGTCTCGACGATGACCAGAAGTTCGCTGTCAAGGCAAGAATCATGACGAGAGCTCTGTCTCGTGCAAATGAGAATCGAAGTTGCGATGTTGCCCATTGACAGGGAGTTGGCGTTCTGACTGCAGCCTGTGCCGACCCTTTCCTGCTGCCAGGCATTTAAGATTGGCAAGCTGAAGCGCGACAAGAAGGCCTCTGGAACTTCTTGCAGCAGTCTCCTTGCAGCTCCTTGCCTTGTGGCCTTTCGCACTGAGAGGCGCAGCTGGAGTCTGAAGTAGGGATCTACCTCTGCATGGCGGTGCCCTCAGCGTCCGGCACCCGACAAGTCGCGACTAGCCGGTGGTTCGGAATTGTCAGGACCATCCGCACATCACGAGACTTTTCGATGTTTACGAAGCAGATGACTACTTGTACCTGGTGATGGAGTGCATGGAGGCCCGATTCCAGGAACTGGTAGCAAATACATAAATGCCAATTGGATGGCACTGTCTCGTTTGGAGGGTGGGGAGCTTTTCGACCGAGTCACGACGCTGAAGAAATTCGGTGAGCGTGACGTGCGGCAGCCCAGTGCAAGCTCTGCTTGTCATTGTGAAAGTCTCCGCAAGAACCGTCAGTACTGGTCGTCCTGGTCGTCGTCATCGTCGTCATCATGCTGGTAGTCTAGACTAGATACAACCGAACGGTAGCTGAAGCTCACACTTGATGTCGCATGTCCGTCTTTGAGCCGCCTGCGCAGCACTGTACAACATGGAACCTTGCGGCCTCTGACTTAGGCGGCCGATGCTGTTTCCCAGATGCTGCTGGCTTTGAACTACATTCATAGCCACGGCCGGGGGAGTGAGAGATGAAAGCGGGTCTCTGGGTTCTTCACGGTTTGCTTCGTTGTTTGTTGTGGCAATGCAAGTCTGTATTGATTTTCGTACATTCAAGGACGCTCTGCCTGGTCTGGCTTCTGCCATGATGTACCATTGATGTATCATGATGTTGTTACCGTATGTTGCTGATGTGATGTTAAAGGTCTTTCGAATTGCATCGCGCCATACTAGACTCTGTATTTGCCCCACTTCATGGGAACCGTGCTCTGTCGCGTTGTATCATGGTACGGCAGACACAGACAAACAATTGAAATTTGCACAGCCGCACACAATGACAGTGCATGCGCTCGTATGTAGTTTGCATATGTTTGAACACTGGTTGTGCTTGGGCCACAGATCAAGGTTCTTTTGGCAGCATCCGTCCGGTAAAGTAAGGGCGGGCACAGTAGCTTTCGCTTGGCAGTTCCTAGAGGCATGTGTGCATGCACGTGACGTTTTTTCTGTTTGATGTACATACGTGCATATCGATCACTGTGAGATCCTACAGGTCCTACAGTCAGAGTGTAACAGTATGCAGACTCCAGTAAGCAATCTTACGAGGCTTGCACCATAGGAACAGACGATGCGACAAACGGTGTTGGGGCCCTTCTTGAGAGACGGAAGCACCGGAGAGGCATCGTCCACCGGGATCTTAAGTTGGAGAACTTTTTGCAGCTTGGCTTGCAGATACTTGGGTTAGCCAGGGCAGGAAGCCACTATTGGCTCGCTCAGGTATGAGTCAAAGACGAGCAACCACCTCAAACTGATCGATTTTGGATTCAGCAAAGTGCGTCTGGGCTGCACAGGATTCCACAGACAATTTCTTCGTGGCTCAGTGATAGGAATGCGGTTGATGATGGACACAGCTGTTCTGTTTCAGGTGGGACCCGAACATCAAGATGCATGTAAGCTGTGGCACCCTTGCCTATGTTGCGCCGGAGGCCAGGAGCCAGTAACCCAGTCGACGCGTGGCTCCAAGGTTAACCACACCTGCCAGG